GACATGTTAAGATGAGAGAAATTAAAATTGTCATTGTTGGGGAGAATTTCTGTGATAAAAATGAATGTTTTGCCTAGAATGATAGTTTTGTTTCAGACAATACCTGTTTTGGCAACTGATATACCATTCGAGCAATGGCAAAAATATTTATCTAAATTTGTATGGCAAGGGAAAAAACCACGAGTTAAATACAAAGGGTTACAAGATGCAAAGGAAAGAGAAGGATTGGGTTTACCAGATTTGAAACTGTATTCTGCAGCTTGTTGTTTGGTTTGGATGAAAAAATGGGTGAAGCTGAGAAACAAGAGACTTTTAGAGTTAGAAGAGCATGACCAGAGGCTTGGGTGGTATGGATACTTACGGTATGATAAAGTTAAAGTTAATGTGGATTTTAAAAAACCATTTTATTAGACATGCCATACTGACAATATGGAAGAGACCCAGGCTGTGCCCAAAAACACCTCTATGGATCTCAGCACAAGAAACATTCTACAGAAGAGGAACAACAGGCAAAGATAAATGATTAACCAGGAACCAGGAGAGTCACCAAGGGGAATATAAAATTAAATCAAGAGAGGAAATAACAGCAGAAGGATATAGTTGTCAGTGGTTTTCCCATTTACAGTTACCAGAAAGATTTAAAATGGATAAAAAGATTTATGGTATGGAGCAAAGTAAGACAGTATTTGAAGTGCAACTGTGAAGCAATGAACATGTAATTGCTAAAATATATAAACTTTTGTTGAAATCTGAAATGGAAGAAGAACCACTTAATGTATGATAAAGTGAGCTAAGAATTTTGGTTATAATATACAGATGGATCGATGAGAAAATATATGTTTAAAAGGGTTGACATTTACATTATGTTATGATCTTAAAGAGAATTTTTATAAAATGATGTATCATTGGTACATGACACTAGAGAACTGTTTTCACCTGCACAGGCTTTTCCAGTGGTTACGCAGGCTAGCCAAACTGCTGCACAATAGCCTGATCTATGAAATCAGCAGTAGCCTAGCATTCAAAAGAGCTGAGAACTCGATTCTGGGCCTGTCGAGGTATGAAGGCTAACAGGGATTATAAAATGCAATTATTAGATGTTGGAGCACCCTTTAATTGCCTGAGGGCCCCCTTCAGAGTTCTTGGCAGGGGACTTGAGAAATTTTCCAAGGACAAAGCTATCGAAAAACCTGGGTATTTACTCACAAAGTGACTCACCTCAGGTGGTATATTTTCAAGCCAACTCTGAGCAAGGAAGTTTAGTGGAGCAACCCACTCCTGTATGCCCTAGTGTGCCATGGTAACAGCATAATCTGAGGTCTTGCCTTCATTGTTTTTCCACTGCAGAGAGGGATCTTTTCATTGCTCCTATTTGCATGACTCCACACTGCTGGAGTCCAAGGAAGGAAGGGAAGGAGTGACAAAAGACTGTGAAGCTGTCTTTCCTCCATGCTTTAACTCCTCCAACCTTCTATCAATTGCCACACAAAGCTGAAATAACTCTTCCAAATTCTGTGGTGTGCCCTGTCCTACCAATTCATCCCTCAATGGATTGCTCACAGTTCCAAATACCCCATTTACTTCCTCAGGACTAACAGGTTGAAACTCTTCCCAGATAACTGAGCAAGACTGTGCTTCAATCACTTGTATAGGACCTGTCTGGCCAGATACCAACTCAGGTCAAATCTGAGTGACTTTGTCCAACAGATGCCTAGAATTGTCTCCACAGTGACCAGCAAGGGCTCTCCAGGATTCTCCTTACCTAGAAGAGACTTGGTTACCCAAACAGGGCCACTGGCTGGCTATCTGCAGACACCATAAGAGTGGAGAAGTAAGCCCACTTCACCACTCTTATCACCACAAGGTAAGCCCTAAATAGGCTCTTACTTGTGCAAGTCAGATTCACTCTTTGTTTTCCTCAAGTGGCACTCTAGACTTCTCTTGTATCATTTCATCTCCTAGAGTTCCTCTGTAAATCAGGAGTTATCTACAGGATCCATGACCACAGAGAGTTTGCACAGGTGCGATTCAATCCAAGGCTGTTGTTTGTTCATTCCATGTCACAACTCAAGCCTCAGCCAGATTGTGCACCAGAGCTTCCTTCTGAAACCGGATCAGTCACCTTGAGTGGGCTGATCAAATAGGCCCTTCCTCCCTGCAGATCCATTAAGTTGCATAAGTTCATTGTATACAATAGCTTTCCAAAAGCAACAAAGATGTGCCTTTATTTCAATTCAAGGTGGTGTACATAATACTCCTTCCTTCTATTTTCCCCACAACAACCACACTGTGAGGTGGGTTGGGCTGAGAGAGAGTATCTGGCCTAAAGTCACCCAGCTGGCTTTCATGCCTAAGGGAGGTCTAGAACTCACAGTCTCCTGGCTTCTAATCCAGTGACTTAAGCAGTACACCAAACTGGCTCTCACTATTGCTCCCATTATCTCTCATTGGCTGGCTGAGTCACTGGCCGAGTCTGGTGGGAACTATATAACAGCAGTATGTAAAAAATCCCCAATTCATTGATAACTTTAAAAGAGAGATACTATACTCCTAGCCCTGTGTGCTAGTCCCTTTGGGCATTAGCGACAGCTGCTGAAAACTCTTGCAAATGCTTTCCAATCTTCTGACCACTCTCTGGAGAACTTCATTTTAATCCTAATTTATTGAATCTAGTTCTCTGGCATAAGTTTGCATGAATGATACTGTTTCAAACAGTAGTTGAGCCCTCTTATGATAAAATGCTCTTCCATACCCATAAAATTACACAGAGAAATAACCTATCAGAGAAATGAGAATGCTTTTCCTTAATACGATAAGAAAGGTGCTTGGAGGACCACTGAATCAGGGAAACAACCCTTTCTTGCAATATCAAATGATACCTTCCAAACATACATCATTCAACCACTTCACTGAGAACCAGGCCTAAGAGAAAGGGGGAGGGGAACGTTCCTGCAATAATAGAACAACTTCAAAAAAATTGGGAGTCAAGAATCACAGCAGCCAAATGGTTTCATCTGGCTACTGTACCATAGGTCAGAAGTGGGTGATCTTTTCGTGGATGCAAGAACTTATAGAGCTGGTGCAATGAGGCAACATGGGCTAAGCTCTCTTCTAGAGACTTTGATATGTGTGAGTGTGTGCGTGTGGGTATGTGTGTGCTTTTATGGAGACTGGCTTCATTTTTTAAACTTACACTATAGTTGGGATATGATAGCCACCTCAAAATGTCAGGAAACCACGCTGCTAATTGTTCATAATCATGCCCTCAAAATTGGATATGGCTCCAATGGAAGCCACATATGTGCTTAAGGCCACTCTTGCTATACGATGAAAACAGCAAAGGCAATTTAACATTCATCCCAGCTATTCACTTTACTAGCTTGAAACAATTCCAACCTTTTCCAGATGCAGTCTCCCTCTTCTCACCTTGTGCTTTTTCACACATGCAAAATAATTCCAAAACACTAATCAAAAACTTTGGGGCTGTTCCATCTTGCTCACCTTACTGGACAGAAGCAGCAGTTTATATGCAAATTACATGAAATTAATTTGCTTTTGGTCTAAGGTTTTTACAACACAGGTACAGTATATGAGATACAAAAAGAGTAGTGATCCTATCAAACCATTACTTTGTCCCCCAGCACTGGAAAAATAACAAGTGTATGATGAAGTTCTCTGGCATTGGTGTAATGGTATGATGTGAATGAAGCAGTGTAATTGCACAAATAACAGCTGTGTACAGAAGTGCCCATATACTGGTATTGCATGAGACTTGGCTTATCTCAGGTGCTGAAGCAAACACACAAAAATGGAGCACAGCCTGCCACTGTTGTTGCCCTGGTTTTACACACATTTATCTTTTTGAGAAATATCTGAAAAGGGCTTCTCATGATTATGCTCTAATTTCTACAAATGATGAAACCATTATGTTCAATTTCTTACCTTTGGAAACTGATAGGTAATCTTGGGCTCATAATTTCCCTTTGTGTCCTTTTTAAGTGAGACCACAACCAAGTATTCAAAAAATGGGTGTCCAGCTGAGTAAGAAAAACTACTTCTCTGTCCCACCCTTGCATCAACACCAGATTTGCTTTCTGTAGGATTTGCATCCTGGGAGTCATCTGTAATGCAAAACAACAGCAACATTATCACTTACAGCAGAGTTTGAGAAATGTGGAATCTTAGCTAAGATCAGACACTCCTTGTCAAGGAAAGTGAATTCTCTCTCTTGAAAACAACTGCCTCTAAAGACAGCAAATTCAAACCATCCCTCACCACTTTAGAACCTATCCACTACCCACACCGACTAGCCTTAACATGCATACAAGACTTGCCTTCCTATGCATAATCACTTACCTCAGTTTCTCTCATTAGCAGTGCATAGCTAGCAAACATTTGTAGCTAGTAGGCACATTAACACTGGCCTCAATTCCCACCCCTTATAATCTATGCACACATCCTCAGCCCTTATACAAAAATGCCCCCAAGAAAGCTTTGATGACCTGAACCATGTGCTCACAATTTCTGTCCTAGGATTCCTGCCTTCAAGATAATCCACTCTGAATCAGGAGCATTCTGCACTCACCTCTACAGTGGCATTTACTCCCCTGAATCAACCTGGGCAGATTTTAGATACTACCTAAAATCTATTGCTTCCTCCAGGCTTTCCTTACATGGATGTTGCTATTACTGTGCAATATTTGTGGTGGCAATTTTTCCAAAAAAAAAAAGTTCATTAATGTTGTTTTTAACTTTGTCTAAGTTAAGTTTATTTACCACTGTCTAGTAAGAGCCAGAAAGTCAACAAAAAGTCTTCATCCATGGGTCAGGAAGGAAGGAACAGAACTAAACACTATACAAATAGAAACAGATCTATTTTGCAATGCAAAGACCACCTTCTGAGTTAGTCTGATTAATTACAGATAATGACTTCATGAGGCTGAAGAGATGCAACGTAGCTTGCACCAATAGGTGGATTCAACTGCCTGAGAAGAAAAGATTCAAGTTTCAAGTACACAAGGAGTGTAGAGGAAAACCCCTCCTGTGTTTGCCTTAGCCAGCTGATTCTATAGATGAATGAGCAGGAATGCCATCACCAAAGCACAAACAAATGTGGGAGAAGAAAAAACAGCTGGACCAAGTGGAGTCCAAACTATCAATAAGGATTTTCCCAGCTCTTTTACAAGCTGCCGTGTAATTAAGTCAGCACCCTTGATATCTTTTGCATCAGCTGCGTTTGAAAAACATGCTAAACCTATAAGCCACCCTTAACTGACTCCTTTGGCTGTGGTTATTGAGCACGCTAAGCACAGAACAACCAATTATATTATAGCTTAATGGGATGGCCTGGTTCACACAAAGCACAAAGACATGCAGTTCTATGAAAAAGTATTCACCCCCCTTTTTAAAAAATTCTCTAAATTTGAGTGTAGAGTTTTATCTGTGTCCTAATGATATATAAGGGACTCTGAGTAGACAAGTATTCCCAATGTTTGGTGTTTGTTTCATGTATTTCATAAATGAAGGTCTCTTCCTCAGCGTCTGCTAACCCAGCAGGAAGATGCCACATGAATAACCAAGAAACAACCCAGGACCCCGACAAAGGCAGCCCACCCTCATCTTTTCCTGGCCCAGTTTCAAAGTGGTGTCTTTCACCTTCTCCCAATGCAAACCTTGCCCTTTGGATTGTCTGCAGCACCTCGTATCAAGGTAAGGCAAGGGGCAGGGACTTGTTCCGACTGACCACCTGAGGCATGCACACTATAGGCATGCGCACACAGCCGGGTCACCAGCACTGTTTTCTAGGGTCATTTGCTTTTTGACAGTGGGGAGGTCGGAGTTCTCCCTCTGCACTGAAGAGCCATTTCTACCATGTTCTAATCTACGCTGCCAGACCCAGCACAAGATTCTCTAGGGTGCTGAGATTTGAAGGGGTGGCAAAAGAAGGGTGGAGAGGAGGAAACCATCCACGGAAAAGCTGGCCACCCAGTCATGGCAGAGGGGGCACCGCAGTGATCATCTGCAGGGCTGAGTGGATGCATTTTTGCATGTAATAAGCACTCTTCTAGAAGACCACTGGATATGTGAATTAGATGCTACAATGCCTAAATCACAGGGGGGCAGTTTAACAAAAGGTAAGGAAGAGGGAGCAGGTCTTCTGTGGTTAGTCTTCCAAACTGACCCATAGGATTGGAGACTGGCACCACTGTTCCCCATGATTCTTGACACACACACCCCTTGATCGCAAGAGAATCAGGGGGAAGGGAAGGGCTGGAGTATGTCTTTTTGGTTGAAGAGCTCCTTCACCTGTTTTAATTCCCATAGGTGAAGGAAAATAAGTGGAAGGGTCTCCTTAACTGCCACCCCTCCATGGAATAACTGTAACTCAATTGTGGAGGGGGGATTTTTTGACATATGTCCAAAAATTGGGGATGTGTGCCAGAACCCTGCCCTCCCAAAATTAGGCACTATGGTGGAGGTAGAGATGGCTCCACTAATTATACATCTTCTTAACATTATACATGGGATAAAAGAAAAAAAAAATCAGCCTGATTCACTCTACATGCATATCAGGTCTTTGATATGTTGGAATGGCTATTTTGCTCAAGACATTAGAAAAAAATATAAATTAAATGTCTAGATATAATCCAAAAACTGTATTTTGAACCAAATGTGGTTGTAAGAGTCCATTATTTGAATTTATTATATAATTCTATACTTGCATAATAAGGAACTTCTCTGCCCTTATTGCGTCCGCAGAATGCCACCCGGCGGCCCTGTTTAGGATCACTAGGTCCCTTCTTGGCAAGGGGGATGTGAAGGTTCATTTGCAGGGCCGTGCGGAGGAATTTTCAGAGCATCTGCAGGACAAAGTCACTCGGATTCATTCCAAGTTAGACTCCGAGCGTGGGGTAGGGCCTGGGGAGATACCAGGGGACCGTTCTTACCCACTTATCTGGGAACAGTTTGATCCTGTTGTTCCTGAGGAAGTGGACAGGGTCCTAGGGACTATGAAGGCCACTACTTGCCATCTTGACCCATGCCCCTCCTGGCTGGTGAAAGCGGCTCGGGAGGTGACATGTGGTTGGATCCAGGCGATGGTTACTACATCCTTGCAGGAGGGAGTGTTTCCAGCCGCCTTCAAGGAGGCGTTGGTGCACCCCCTCCTCAAGAAACCCTCCCTGGATCCTACCATACTGGACAATTTTCGTCCAGTCTCCCGCCTCCCACCTTTTTGGGGAAGGTGGTTGAGAAAGTGGTGGCTTCACAGCTCCAAAGGGTTCTGGACCCTTTTCAGTCAGGTTTCAGGCCCGGTTATGGGACAGAAACGGCATTGGTCACGCTTATGGATGATCTCAGGCGGGAGTGGGATGGTGGAAGTGCGACCATCCTTGCTTTCCTTGATCTCTCAGCAGCTTTCAATACCGTCGACCACGGTATCCTGTTGGGACGGCTCAGGGAATCGGGGGTGGGCGGCAGAGTCTTGTGCTGGTTCACCTCCTTTCTTCAGGGCTGATCCCAATCGGTGTTGATAGGGGGTGAGAGGTCCCATCCTCGGCCCCTCCTTTGTGGGGTGCTGCAGGGTTCGGTTCTCTCTCTGC